GAGAGAGAGAGAGAGAGAGAGAGAGAGAGAGAACAATTTGAACATTTTCAAATTATTTAGGTACTTTGTCCTAAATATATATGTATAAAATTTATACTTTGAATACATTACATCTCTAGTAACCCAAGTCTGATTCTAGTCTATATTTCAAAAAAAAATTATGTGATCCGCGACCAGTCAGTCTTTCACAAAAAATTAAAGATCGAATGAGACAACCGATTTAAGAAAAGACCGTACCAGTCTCAAGAACCACCTAAATCCCATCTTTTCCGTCTTAATCCCAAATTATCTTAATTTAGCTTTTCAGTCCTAGTCCTTTCGTTCTTTGCTAGACTTCTTTCAACTTTCAATTCCAAATATTCAAACTCTAGTTAGGCTCTCTATTCCTCAAAGTAAAAAAAGGGGTTGAACTTCCCCAGCATAGACACTAACTTTCAGAATTGGGGGTTGAAGTGAATGTGTTGATCAAAACCACTAAAAGAGAATAGAAGTTGGATCCAAAATATCATAATGAAGTAATTTAAAAGAAAATATTCCTACATTATATGGAGAAAAAGGTAATTTATGTGATTTGGAAATAGAACAAGTGTCACAACTGGATTCCTTAGACTTTGAAAAAACCTAAAAGCGAGAGTAGACGCTTTGTAACTTGTGAATAAGGATTTCCTAAACGGCGATGCCATTCATGAGAGGTGAGAGCGATAGATCGCACAGATGGAGATGACTCGAAGGGTACTGACACATGATAATTGAAAGGTAACATTAAAAGCCCTTGTTACATGATATTTTGTATCTCACCTATTGGAGTTATTGTTTGGGATCTCAAACTCATAAGGGGTTAAAAGAAGGGTACAATTGTTATCTTTAGTGAAACGATAATAAAAAAGCATGTGAGATTTTAGGGATGAAACATGAACGAGATTGCCAAGGTAAAAGATGCTAGAGGCATTGAATATTTTACTTGAGCCAATATGCATAACAGGGAGAGGATAAGCACCTGCACTAGGTACAATTTTAGTGTTATAAAATGGAATGTATAAATAGAGATGCGGCAGATCCAAAGTTACATGAATATCAACACTTATATCCAAAAACTAATTTCTATTGGTGCTAAGAGACTGAGACGCAAGCACAGCCTGAAGCATGGAAATGGTTAACCCACAATATTGAGAATCAAAACGATACCAATAGTCTCATGAAGGACACATTATTATTTTTGCCTCAAATTTAACAGACGATAGAATCACTTGGAGGCCCTCGCCCACTTGCCGAAGAGCAACCACATCCGTGGTTGGCGCCGCCTCAGCTTGGAGGTCCGTTACGACCTGAATAGCCCCCACGGCCCCTTTTCAAACCTCTCCCACGGCCACGGTCACCTTGTCCAAAATGAGCATAAAAGTTTGTTCGACAGCAAATTATATTATACATCCAATTGTACCCAATTTTGGGTGCAACAAAGAAATTATTTATGGTATGAATTTTATTTTATATGAGAATAAACACTAAGCTATTTGAGAATGAGTACTATTTTGTTTTAGAATGAACATTATATTATTTGTAGATGAATATTATAATTATACTGAACCAATGTGTGAAAATGAGTACTGCATTATTTTAGAATAAGTACCACGCTAATTATATTTGTGCGAAAATGAGTACTACTCTAGTTCAGAATGAGTACTACCCGGATGTACGGTACATCCAGTTGTACCATATACCTTCTTGTGTTCGACTCACAAAGTTGGAGTTTGTGTTTCATCTTCAAATAACATGTTCTTGAGCTATAATGTGCCCTTTTGCTCAGCTCGAAAACCCCTTTCCCGGGGTATGTATTAATCTCAATCAGTTACATAAACTCACTTTTCATTCTATTTGTGATAATTTGATTATCTATTGGCTATAGTCATCCCTAACGAGTGGTCAGCTCTTGTTTGAGCATGCTGAATCATTTAAAGGTAACCTTTCACGCCTTTTATACATGGAGGTACCCCAACTTTAATGGTTGTAACAAAAAGGTATCACATTTTCAACTTTAACAAAAAATACTTCTGTCTTTTAAAAAAATGTAACAATAGGTACCTTTTACTGAAATTTTAAGAATCAGACTAGTGAGTGCACATGTAGCATTCCACTTGACTTCCTAGCGTAGATGTGGTATTCCATATGACTTCTAAATTAACTTATAATTTATTCCATACTTAATTAACTTTGTACTTGACACAAATAAAGTCAAATTTAAAAAAATAAAATTTCATTTTAGTTATACAATTCACTTTTTAGGCTATGTTTTTAAACCATTTTTCACCTGATCACCCCTACCTATGTTAAGCAGTAACTTCCATTGCCACAAATTCCAAACAAACAAATTCCAAATAAACAGGGCGAAACACTTTCTTTATACACATGAAAGTAGAACTCTATATTGGGAACTCCAAAATGTAACTTCATTGCCACAAAATTCCAACCAACCAATCAGTCGCTAACTACACAGTTCAGAAGTGCAAAAACTATAGTATCAGGACACAATTTTCGGAGAAAATAATCTCGATGCACCACATACACTCCATTGAATACATGCCAACCAGCAAGGAGTAACCCCCCCCCCCCCCAAACGGCCAAACCCATGAAAAAATAGAATAGAACTGCAGGGTTCATTGCAAGGGGAGAGCAAGCAATCCAAAGAACTAAAAACCTGTAACGAGTTCAATTGGGGTGCCCGCAGATATATTAACTAGGACTCAGGTCAGTGAATAGATATTGCAATGAGTCTTAAAAAGCCATCCGCCCAGCCAATCTGCTTTCTGATATTCTCCTGTCGATTGCTGCATCTATTGAGCTCATCTGAAACAAAGGGAAACCGAAATATAGGAAATCAGAAGCTAAATATAGCCAGCAATCAGCACGATGAACCAGTCAAATTATCAGTTGACTGCTTCAATACCAAATCTGTAAAAAAGAATCTGACCTGGGCCAAAGTTTGAGCCACTGTTCAACCATAACTAGCCTTATTTTAACAACAAAACAGTCACGCACAATTATCTTAAGGGTATTTTTTCTTATACCCGTACTGTATTAAAAAAACAATAGAAAAACATCGAAAGAGCATACTTGTGAGAAACATGAGCTGTGTTTGAATACTGATTCCTCTAAGTTGAGGCGTACTTTCGGGAACAATGTTTCTCTCCGTCCCAAAAGAACGTTAAACATTCTCACAATGTTTCTCTTTTCTACAAATTTCAACCACACTATTTACTTTTCCACATTATCCTTAAACTCCATGAAGTCAAACCGTAAACTTCATTTTGGAGCGGGGAGGGAGAAACTATTAGCAAAGGCTGTAATGAAAATACGTACTTGATTCACTGATGGACACAAAATGGGGAATTGCTTTCCAATTGGAGAATGTCAAATAATAATATAAGATGGTGCGCAGCTCATCAAAATCTATTGGGTTTAATTGTAGAAAAGTAAATCAAATTGTTAGAATATGATATGATCTTTCTTCTTTTTTCGGAAATTTCATGTGGGTCACAGATTATTCATTCAAATCAACCACAAGTACATCATAAATCAAAGGTGGGGGGGGACTATTGACCCTATCCAACAATGCATGTTGCAGAATCTGCAGCTCGACTTAACAAATAAGCACACTGTTTTGCTGAACGTTTAACAAACAAAAAAGGATATGAACCAAATTCTAGTGAGGGAATTTAACCATCAATAATTGCATCAAAGATACATTATGTTTGTGAACAACCAAGTCCTGTTTAACCAAGATACATATAGCTACACAACAATCAGAATATCTTGAAGAATTTCCTTCATCCCATAAAGAGCTTCCCGCACTTCTATCATCTCCATCATTGAAGGTAAATATTACTGATACTATTAAATTCTTTCACATTTTCTTACAGAGTACATTTTGAAGGGAGGGAAAGAGAGATTGTGTACTGGTAAGTTAGCTTTACCAAATTAATAAAAGTTCTAGTTGACCACAAATCTGGCCTTGTATATGTAATATTTTTACGGAGTATTTCTCAAGGGGAGCAAAGATCCTGTTTGTGAACAATGATATACAATTTAATAATTGAAGTAGATTATGCATGCTACAACTAAGAAGACCTGTGAGAGAACAGAGAAGGTTGAAAATTGGAGAAATGACAATGTTATGTAGGGGATCTCTGGATGTACCGTCACTACCGTGACACCGTGTTAGCCAGAATACCAGATAAGTTATTTCAGTTTGAGCTAGGGTAGTGCCTATTACTAGTAAAGAGAACATTGGCTGTAACAGTTTGGCAACATTTGTCATAGGGACTCAATGTAACTAGTGAGCATAATACAGTTTGTTTTAGTTGAGAGGACAAAGAGAAGAGGCAGGCCACGAAAAAGGTGGGGGAAACGGTTGAGGTTGGAATTGGGAGAGTGCTAAACCTTTATGAGGCCATAATCTCCCTAGGAGTTTCTAAAAATATCATACTAGCATCATAGAGTGTTTGTAGGGGTTGAGTGTGAGGGATTGGAGGTTTTTTTACATTCCCCATACTAAATACCATTGTCTGTGCCTCTGTGGTTTGGCATGGTATTTTGCATACTCTAACTCATATTCATGTAAATTACCAAATAGTGCATTTAAAGGACAAGAGGTTGGAAGCACTTACAAATTTGCTTTATGAACATGAAACCGCAGTAAAAAAATTGAATCAGGTTAAGTGGGTTGCAACTATTTCTGTACAGTAGCACCATTCATAGCAATAACCACATTAAATGGTGTAAGTAGAGGGAAACCGAGACTTACCTGGCTAGTAACATCGTGAACCTGATACTTAGGCAAAGACACCCTTCTTTCTTCCTGCAAAAATTCCAAAAAGACAACAAAATTAGATAATTCTTGCAACCAAAGTTCCAAGTCACACAAAAAAGGAGACCACTTACCATGGACATAGCTTCATCGTCCCAGACCAAGTAGACCTCATTTGTCGTTGGCTGAGAAGCAGGAGCTTTATTTGCAATCACAGGAGGCGGTCCAATTGATGGCCCATTTGTGTTAGGCCCAGAAGCATAAGAATGTGAATTTGATGGTGCTGCAGCTGTGATAAATTAATTCTTGCATTATAAAAAATCACAAGTGCGACACTGCAATCTATATTGGCAAGGCTTAAAGGATGCAAAAAAGATTTTGCAACTCTGCAAATCATGAAGATACAATAAAGCAAAGGGTGTAAAAGAATACATTGAACAAATTACATTATGCTGATAATGCAAAAAATAAGCCATCAAAAGAAATTAACCACCAACAGAAAGATCTCTAAACTAATATTTAGGGAGGGGGAGTGGGGGGGGGATTTTTTCTTGCCATTTTAAGTAATCTCAACTAGTTTTGAGGGGTGCACTGAAACCTCCCTGCATATTCTCAATTTTCCTTGGTAAAGTATCTAAAATCCTTTGAAGTTAATGCATATGATCGAGATATCCAAAATAGGGACGACATTAAACAAAATAAAGCTTCAAATGCATTACATAAAGAAAAAAATACCTTGATTTCCTGCACCCTGATAGCCATTTACCGCTGGAGTACTATTGGAAAGGTTCGAGTCAACAGAGTTGGGAACTTCGGCTGAAGAGCTTGTTGAAAGTTTGGATGCTGAAAATGGTGATCCCTGAGAAATAGCATTTGGAGGAAGAACTGGAAACAATGGTTGAGACACAGGAGGAGCTGTAGTAGATGCCTGCATTCCTGGAGGGGTAATTGCAAATGAAGGTTGGGTGGTTGTTGGGGGAACAGTTGATGACACAGGGAGCCTCACATTCTGGACAGGAAATAAAGGCAGTTGTGGCATGCTCAGAGATTGAGGTGGCAGTGCAGAAACAGAAGGATACTGTGAATACCACATCTGAGGTCGAGGTGGTGCCGCCCATCCAGCACGAGGTATGGGCATACCAGTACTGTACCTGCAAATGTTTGGCTGATGCTATAAAAAAGACCATATGCACTAACTGGCTGGCATGTAAAATTCATTTTACAGTAGAACCTGAACTCATCTATCATAGAAGAGAGATACCCCATCCTCCATTTAGAAAAAGGAATTGATTCTTCAACTAATAACAATAATAATACGTAGTAACAAAAATATAACAACAGCAACAACAACAACAACAACAATAATAATGATAATGATAATAGTGTTGTTGTTGTTGTTGTTGTTGTTGTTGTTATTATTATTATTATTATTCTTACTGCACAAATTTTGCCAGTGCAGAGAGTGTCTCAGCCAATAGAAAGCGATATGCAAAATGAGAACACTTACATCTTCTAGAAGACAATCCTAAACATGGAACTACCAAAGATACTAAGCATCTTTTATGAGCATTTAGAAGGGAGAGCAGGAAATTAAAAAGTTAGGACCAACTCATCCATGAAAGTTGAAGGATAGTTGAACACAACTTAAATACGGAGTACTTTTTTCCAAATACCTAAATCCACATTTTATAGCACTTCAGAAGAACAGAATAGCATATTACTCCGAAGGTGATTTCATGAACAACAAAACGTAAAATGGAGGGAAGGTCAGGCAGAAAATATCAAACACTACTTACAGAACACATGTAGAAGAAAAAATTTGATCTTCCAAAAGTTTTACTTTTATGCTAGTTGCTACAAGCATATTTACTTCTACTAGGACAATCTATTCCAGTAGACCACAAAAACATTAAGCATGAACATAACTATGGTGCAAAGATAAAATAAAACTGTTATGTTTACTAAATATCTGAAAAAATGCCTAAACTCAAGATTTTCACATTAAGGGAACATACATTGGTGGACCTGGGCCAAGCGTTGCATGGGGAGGATAAGCAGCAGGAAATGACCCGGGAAGAACACCTCCTACATACTGTGGTGCTGAAACATCTGCTTTGGCGGCTTTTGAAGGTGTTCCTTCCTCTGCAAGAAATGTTTAAAAAATGGAATTAGATTAAACTCTCATGAAATAAGATAAGTCTCAAGAACAAAATATCTCCATCGCATTCTGCCAAAGACAAACACATAATCTTTACACTATGATATGCTGCTAGAAAAGGTTGAATCTAATGAACAATCCTCCCATGTAATGCATGAACTACATTAAGACAAAAAATTAGATGGATGAATTAGCAATTTAAAGACATTACAATAACGAAGGTGCCTGCTTGCGAAAATTGGCAAACATAATCGGTAAGTGTATAAAGTATAAACCAGTAATTAAGAACAGATTAGAGATTAATGAACAGCTCAGTACTATAGCACCCAAAAGGATCCAGGAATGTAATTGAACACGACAAAGTATGAATCCGACTATTATCACAGTACATTACAGATAATTCAAAGCATGAGCATTGAGCACAAGTGCCCAACAGACATATAAGGAGTGAAATTGGTTCAAAATGAGATATTCATAAATATTGCTCCCCCATCCCAAATTAATGTGCAAAGTTTGACTGGCCATAGTTTTCAATATAAAGTAAACCCAATGTGGTTGATAATTATGAAAAAACGAGAGGAATACTTAAATCACGTGCTGCTAAGCAGGGATTTGGAATTGGTATGGGCAAAGAAAGAAAACAAGCACACTGATTGGGACGAATGAAGAAGGAAAAAAGGCACAATAAACTGCAGATTTGATTGAACACACACCTTCTTCTCCATAGTGTGCAGCTAATACATCAGGTGGGATACCTTGCATTCCATAAATTTCAATTTCGGTTGATTCCCTGCCAGACTTCGCATTTGGCACCCTGAAATATATTGCCGTTCAAAAGTTTTAAAAAAAATTAGAAACAGAATACAACGATGCATTACATTTGTCCAAGATATGAGCTGATATTCTTTCATCAATCAGGGTCACTTAAATTTCAACACTTGTTTTGCTTGAATATGTCAGATGATATCCATTGGAAGCAATGAGCAATTATAGAATAAATAAGCCAAAAAAAACATTCAAAGTTTAAGATAAATTCAGAATATGTATCAAACAAAAGTTCAACGAAGTTGATTATGAGCTACACCAGTTTCTTTATTACTATTAATGTCAATTTCTTATTATTACTACAAATACTCCCTCCTCTGCCACACTAAGTTTGGGACAAGGAAGAGCAGCATGCAGATTAAGAAAAAGTAGGACTGTCTGGTTGATATCGAATTTGCGAGGGCACATTGATTTGAACCACATAAAACGTACCTAATATGGTATGAGATAAACAGTTTGGGACAGACTAATGGACAAAAGGGACAAGAATAGTGGGAGGATTATTTACTACTCTGTATTAATACTACGTGGCAAAGGAAGGGGCTACTAGAGATCTTATAGGAAAACCTGAACCATTAATTATATGACTAGGATCTTGTGATTAAGTCTGTCTCAATAAAGCAAGAGGAATAAGTAGAGGGACAATACTAAAGATGAATGGCCTGCTGCAGTAAAAAGTTCAAAAATCAGTTTAGTTTTCAAGAGCATGCTATTGTAGAAGGAGCCACCAACTGATGTCAGCGTAGATTTCAAGAAATTCAGTTTATTTAACTATTTTTCACTGAGCCAGTACGTCAGTGTCTTCTGTAAGCATGACACTGTCTGCATGAGATTACTGAAGGATCGACAAACTAGATGCATAAGTTGAATATGGTTTATTTAGATATTAGCTAATTTAAAATAAAAAAATTAATTTTTTTGTTAATCCTCTGTTGAGTTAATAAATACAGAGTACAAATATATGTACCAAAAAAAGTAACTTTTTATACACCATACAAAGTGGTGTTTCTCTGTGCTTATAAGTTGGTCAAACTTGCTTATAAGTTGTTCTCAACTTATAGCTCATGACGTGTTTCCCTGTGCTTATAAGCTGACTTATAAGCTACTTATCTGGTGCTTATTGACTTATTGCTATAAATAATTTTTAACTTATAAGTTGCTTATAAGTTAAAAATTGTTTCGTGTAGATAAAATGACTTAAATGATATATAAGTCACTTGGGAATATTCATAAAAGGTGAGAGATATTTTTGTAAATAATCTTAGTCAAAACGGAGAAACAAAAGACTAGCTTAAAATATATAGGTAAAACTTGGTTATTTTTCTGGCTTATAAGCGGTTTAAAAGTCAGCTTATAAGCGCTCAGGAACTTATAAGTTAAAAATAGCTTCTAAGCACAAAGAAACACCCACAAAATAAGTAGGTATTACCTACTTATTTTTAAGCTACATTTTTTGTTCCTCTATTTTGACCAAATTATTTACAATATTATCTCTCACTATTATAAATATTTTATACATAATTTAAGTCATTTTAGCTACATGAAAGAATATTTAACTTATAAGCAGCTTTATAAATTAGAAACTACTTATCGGCAATAAGTCAACAAGCACATGCACATGCCTAGAGACACTCAGACAACCATTTTTTATGGCTTATAAGCAACTTATAAGTTATAAGTCAGCTTATAATCACAGAGAAACACGTCATGAGCTGATTTATAAGTTGAAAACAAGTTATAAGAACAGAAAAACACCACTATATATGGTGTATAAGCACATGCACAAAGAAACACTCCCATAGTGTTAATTTAAAAAAAAGCTACGGTCTTTGTTTGCTATTAGCTATTTTCTAATAACAATTTGATTAGTTTCAATTTTCTTCCTAATTTTCATTCTCCTTACTTTATTACTGCAAACTTTGGTTAACATACATTCCTTACAAATCTGGTAATCATCCTTCTATAAAAAATATGAAGTGGTGGATATTTCAAACACCAAATGCAAATTTATGTACCCAAAAAAAAGATCCATCATCTGCTGAATTAAAATATGCAAATTTATGTACCAAAAAAGTAATATTTTGATTCATCCTCTTCTGTGTTAATTTTGATTAGAAAAAAAAACTAAATTTTGCATCTGGTACAATATGTTCTTAAATTTGCACAAATTGTAAAAGTGGAAAAATCGAGCAACGGTATAGTTAATGAAATAAAGTTCAAAGAAGTGAATTACGGACTTGGTGACGGATTCTTTGTGAACCTGAAGGACGTGGATGGCCATGCCACCAGCGGTGGACAACTTCTTCTGGCAGACATGGCACTTGAAGTGCTTCGCCTTCTGGTGCTGCACCAGAATCTTTTCGTCATCGAACTCTCGATCACAGTAGTAGCACCATACCTTATCAGTTGCCCTCTTCTTCTTCTTCCCCATCCTTTTTCTTCCTTTATTTCTTTCCCTCTACACGCTCTGGAATGCAATCACAAATTCCGATTCAATGAATGGAACACACCGATTGAATTGAACACTTCTGAATCTACAGCGCTGAGAGAGAGCGATTAGGGTTAGGGTTGCCGTCACGGTTTCTGGGGAAGACCACGATTATTGGGGTTGGGTTGCGGTTGGCGTGCTAAAGTCTACCAGGGGAGAAGTTCTACATCCCTCATTTATTTTTCTTTGTGTAAAGATTAGTTTTATTTTAGGAAAAGTTAAAAAATAGATATAAAAACTAACGAAAATGAAAATCAATAGAAACTAATTTAAAACTGGTAAAAACTAAAATAAAAATATACAGAGTTTATATTTTAACATTTTATGCACTATACAGAGTATTATACTTATGTACCACTTCTTATTTCGAAAAAAAAGCATCATCTAGAATAATTTCAATTTTACCTGTTCTTTTAAAAAATAAGTAGTAGTACATTAATGCTCTGTGCGTAAAATGTTAGAACCGACCATTCCTTATATTTTTATTTTGTTTCTTATCAACTTCAGTTTAATTTCTTTTAATAATTTCTTTTAATTACCTTATTTATTTCATTAATTTTGTATGGTTTCATTAAGGCAAGACTAATCTTTAAAAAAGAAAAAAAATGGAGGTTGAAAGTCATTTTAAAAATTTAAATAAAAATTTAAAAAAAATTAAAAAACGAAATTTTATCAAAAAATAATCCCTACATTTATTTTATTGTGCAAAACAGACATTTATGTTAACCATCATTAGCAACTTAACGGCAACCCAAAACTCACAAGTTTCAATAAAGTTTAGATTATTATGCATCACACTGAATGGTGAGCTTGTTTTTGAAAGATTGGTAAATTTGGGATTATTTTGGATAATTTTTCCTATTATCTACTTATTTTTACTATTCATTACATAAAATAATATAGTATTTTCGCCTCTTGTTTTGGAACACTTTTCATGCAGTTTTTTACTATATAAATGTAATTGTTAAATTTTACACCTATAAGAAAATAAATCTATTAAAATAAAGGTTGTCAAGTCTTGTAGAAGATATATAAGGATGGAGAGACTTGACCGACTTTATTTTTCAACTACCTAATTTGGCGGCGGCATGTTCAAACCACTCTCCCTTGGCTTGAACCTTCTTGGTTATGTCAACAGTTCCATTCAAGCTCCACTCTTGTTCCTAGACACCCAAAGCTTGGTCGGGTGCAATGTCTACACCACCTAGCGCATCTATTGGTGTTGAATAATCATAGGATGTAATATCTCTCATGTAGATCGACTCCTCATCTGTAGCTCTAGCACCCTCATCTTCATCCATGGTGAGAAACCCACTATATATCAACGTCATCCTTGGCATGAGGTTGGGCACTTAGTCCCTCAGATCCAACTGCGTCCTCTACAATATAATAGAAGCAAGGTGTACAACTACTTCCATCATTTGGACAATCGTGTCTCCAGTTGGAGTCAACAAACTTGCACTACAAGAAAATATCAAAATTGCAATTGAAAAATTAAAACAGACATTATTTCGTTGGAGTGTTAACCTTTGATTAGCCGCTTTGTCAACTTGACGTCAAGAATGCCTTTCTGAAAGTTACTATTCATGAAAAGGTATACATGGAGCAGCCTTCTGACTATAGGGATACAACACACATGGACTATGTGTGCAAGCTTCGTAAGGCACTCTATGGTTTGAAATAAGCCCCAAGATCCTTGTATCTAGAATTGGCCACCTTTTTACTTGGGTTCGATTTTCAGAAATCCAAGCCGGATGCCTCGCTTTTTATTTATGCCAAGGGTTTAACACATCTTTATTTATTGGTATATGTTGACGATATTATTATTACAACGAATTTGATAACCTCTCTTGATGCCTTTTTTCATGAGATATCTTGTTGTTTCCCTCTTCAGAAGGTGTTTTCTTGTCTCAAAGCCAGTACATTTTTAATATCAGAGCGAGCCAGCACAATATGGCTGGTTCCAACTAAGAGAGAACTCCTCTATCTTCAACGTCCTCCCTACAGCTATGAGATCGGTGTGTATCTTGCACGCACTCGGCCAGACGTGTGCTATGTTTTCAATAAACTCTCTCAAGTAGCAAAGTGCGTTCTTCGCTATTTGAGTGGTACTCATGCACATGGTCTTTTTCTACATGTTAATGCGTCATTGCAGCTCATCACTTTCTCAGACTTTATTTGGGCAAACTATAATACACTTTGATAAACAATTCTTTTGCAAACTATAATGCACAATCGACTTCTTTTGCAAACTATAATACACTTTGATAAACAATTCATGAAAAATATTACGTTAAATTTGGTAAAATTAGGATTCATTTAAAAATAATTTTGATATATCAAATTTTTATAATATTTAATTCTTTATGGTCAACATGTTACACAAATTGACCAAAACAATTACACTGTGAGATTCTTTTTGGGATGGGAGAGTATTTACCAACTTGGTTCATTTCGAAATCTAGAAGTTTTTTATTTGAAGTCCATAAGATGTCCACATTGAACTTTCTCACATAATTTCTTTTGTATATTTATTTAAAAAGTATTTATAAGAAAAATGTATCTAAGTAGTAAATGAAACAAAAAAAGAGGAGAGTATGCACTTTGGAGTGTCTAAGACAAGAAGTAACGAATTAAAATTTGGCCCATTAGTGCTATTCTTGAATTTTGAAAAAAAAAGAAGAGGGAGAGATCCAAAGAAAATTGGAAGAATGGCCAGAAGAGCACCACCGCTGATGTCTATCGTCCTTGATCTCTCAAAGCCACCTTTTGCCACAGTGATAGGAGCCACCTCCGCTGCAATCCACCCCCGCAACCGCCGGAGATCACTGAAGCCGCCCAATTCCATCACTGTGATGAGGCCAGCTGCGGTTAAAATCCAAAGTCATAGCAAATAGAGGAAGTTGATCGCCGCCGCCGCTACTCAGACCCGCCACCGCCGCTCCTCAGACCCGCCACTAAGTTTTCCATCAGCGTCGCGATCATGACCCAAACACGCCATCGCCAAATTCAACCATTACTACCGACGAAGCCAATCTCCATCGTTGCCACTATCAGAGTCCTCACCGCCATCACTGACCTTGAGGAAGTCGCTGAAGATGTGGGACTAGATCGAGGATTGCATGGCGGCATTGATGATGTGGTCGCGGTCGATTGGGTAGCGGATGGTGGTTGGGGTGAGATCTGCGTCTGGGGCAAGGAGTTGGGCGACGACGAGTAGTGCAATTTTGGACTACTGCAGTGGGGTCATCTCTGCCCTGGAAGCCGCGCACCAGCAGGATCAAGCGTCATCATCAATTCCGTCCGTGGCCGCCGCGCTGTGGTCCGCCATTGTTTGCTCGAGCTTTGTCGAACTGATGTCAAAACGAGCCGGTGTCCCTCTAGAAGACTTCGTTCAAACTTTCCGCTGCGAATGAGCCGCCGCATCGATGTCATTGAAGCCTGCAGCCTCTCCTCACTAAATATCCCAACTCTGGAAGAAGAAGAGAAAAAGAAAAGAAAGAAGAGACGAGCCAAAGTGAAAGAGGACAACAACAACAACAACAACAACAACAACAAAAGAAGGTAAAAGGAGAAGTGGAAGATGGGATGGCAAATTGGAGTAATAATGAGAATTGTGGGGGCCATTGATTCCATTATATGGAATAATTAAAAGGCTCCTTTCGAGAAAAATCAAGGGAGTTTCACAACTTCACATGTCATTTGGCCCCACAAGTCCACTTAAAATCTCAAAGAGATTGCTTTGGTGGAATTGGGTCCAGGATGCGTATATCTTGGGAGATTTATCTTGATGAATACTGGAAGACTGAGACACAGGCCCAGACCTGGCACGCTGGTTACTACACCGGTCTTGCTCAGTATAAAAAAATATAAACCCGGAAGAGGGGCCCCGAATAAGGGGTATGCCTGCAAGAAGGCTGGACCTGGAAGAGGGTTCGAACCGTACTTACACGGGCTCATGAGGTTTGACCGGTATCGGGGAGTCAGCCGAAACCGTTAAATTGATTGGGGACTAAAAGATTCCCATTAAAAGAAATAGAAAATGATCGTTCACCGCAATGCATCCTACTCCGACCGGATAGGATTCCCCCTTCTCATGGAAGACTTGAACGGGAGGGTGAGCTAAGGCCTTCCCAGAATAGTAAACATCAAAGGGCCATTAAAAGACTTAATCACTCGGAAGAGGGGGCCCTGGAAGAAGGGTGCATTTTGGGCCTTGGAGAGGGCTCGAAACTATCTAACATGGTTAATTCTCCAATGTTGATCTGGCCCGGCCAGCAGCATTATCTTAAAGGAAGACTGAGACACAGGCCTAATCTGGCACGCTGGTTACTACACCGGTCTTGCTCAGTATAATAAATAAAATATGTGACCTAGTCGAACTGGTACACTGGTCTCACACCGGTCTTGCACATATTTTCCAATGAGCCTGAGCCCAATCGAATTGGGTACACCGGTCACACATCGGTTTCAGCAAAAAAGTGAGCTGAGCTCATATCGGGGACGCCCGATTCATTTTAAGCCCTCTATTTGAGGCACTTTTATCGAAGATGGTCTCTGCATGGCATGAAGATATTTGCATCAGTTAGCCGGGCTGACACCGATCTTCAACAAAGCTGATGCAGCGTACTTAATTCGTATTAAGTAACATCGATAACTTCGATATACTAATTTCGCTATGCATCATTTACTTAATCCGTACTAACATCGGTCTCGGTGAAATAACTACTAATTCTGGTGTCGTGTAACTACTCGAAGCATCGTTGCTTTATCGAACTCACATCGCTCTTGTTACGATAATTATTCACGCGAATTTTAATCACTCTAACACTGAGCTCCTCGGTAAAGATAATAATTATATGAGCACGGCCTAGGTCGGTCAAAAAAAAATTGTACGTATTATTTTTTGCAGGAAAAAATCTCATTCAAGAAATTAGAGAGTTAATGAAGACTCAGAGGACTAGCAATATCAACCAGTCAAGAATGCAAAGTACGAAGACTGAAGATAACACTCGGAGGACTGATTTACTTTCTTAAGTTGATGATTCTCACAACTTAAAAAAGTGGAGGACTTCTTGATGGGAAATAATATGTGGCTCGGTCCACATTTTCCAAATTATTTACGAAGAATAATCAAATCGGGTCTGTTTAGTAAAATGAAGGAATAAGAGAATATTCTCCGAATATGCTTCCTTCACTCCCTATAAAAGGAGGGGTGCCCTCAATGTGAAGGAGAGGCCACATCCACTCCATCCTGCCCAAATTCTTTTCTCTCTCTAAAATACAATGTATTTATGGATAGAGTGACTATATCTTTGCATGATTTCATTTGATCCAAAGAACATCTTCCTTATCATTAACTCTCCATATCAACTTCATTATGAGTACTTTATTCATAAAGAATATTTTTAATCCCTAAGCTTCCATATCCTTTTAGGGTACACTTTAGGGCTGGGTTGGGAAAATCGAAAACCGCAAACCGAACCGAAATCGATCAAAACGAGCTAAAAAAAAAACCGAACCGAAAAAACCGAAACCGAATGTAAAAAAACCGAACCGAACCGTTAGTGTTTGGTTCCGTTTTGGTTTTCACTTTTAAAAACCGAACCGAACCGAATAAACCGAACTTTCTTAGATATTTCGCTTTATTTATATGAATACATGTGATATGTAAAAAATATATAGAAATATAAACACAAATAAATTATTAGTCGATTAAAATTATTTTCTTAACTATTAATTAAACATTCTAGCCATATTATTATAAACTTTGAAAAAACCTAAGAATATAAACACCAATAGCTAATCCTAAAATAGAATTATATTAATATTAAAAATTGATACGAGTAATTTACATATTTACATAACTAATACTTTGATGTTATAATGAAAATGAAAGTATTATACCAAAAAACTTAAATTCTTCGTAATTGATTTTACATACGATTTCTTTGGAAGTATTTGGAATCTTCTAAATGTTTGTTGCACACTCAACACATATTTTTTATGTAAAATTGAACCAAAAGGAACAATGACCTTCCGTTTGGTTTTTGTTTTTTGTGTAAAAATCAAACAAAAAAAACCAAAGCTAACACTACATATTGTTATTGTTTCATCGAGTTAGTGTTTTTACTATTTTTTAATGCTTATAAATTTCTTCTTTTATAAACCGAAAAAACCGAAAAAAACCGAAATAAAAACCGTATAAAACCGAACCGAATAACCAACAGTTTACAAATTTTTTATGCAAAACTGAACCGAACCGCCAATTTACCTTCCGTTTTGTCTTTGGTTTTGGGTGAAAACCGAACCGCCAAAACCGAACCCACCCCTAGTTTACATACACATCATCCCAATTGATGTCTTTTGTAGGTCTGATTGCCCCCCTCCCCCCAAGGAAGTTCATGCAAATATATTGGATCTGCTTCATCACCGCGTTGGGATAATAAAGAGCCTGGTCAAAAAAGGAATCACCCTCATTAGCATAGGATTTGTAAGTCTATCTCTCTCAGAGTCCCAGCATAAGATGTATTTTAGGATTAATATGGGCGGGTCGGCCTAAACCAAATTAGATGGGCAAAAAGCTTTACCCGGCCATATCACCCAACATAGGCGGGTTGGGCTTGGGCTGGCCTCCAGGCTTCTGAACCCAAAATTTACATCAAGAAAAAACAAACATAAATAAAATAAAATCACATTGATAACACTTTTATAACAAAAAAGAGTAATAGACTGATTATAACATATCCAATGAAAAGAAAAAACAAACAAAAAAGTATTTGTAACAATAGCTTCCAATTACATGGGTAAATGTGAAATGCAAAACTCATATATATGGGTCTCAATTGGCGACACATTACCGAGACAAAAAATCTAATACCACGGAGTATTGACCATCTCCAATGGCATGCTCACAAAAGATGCTAGGAGGAGAGAGGGTGAGATGTTGATGGATGCTATTATTGTAGGTGGGTGCTCATTATAGATGTCCAAGGAAGACAAAGAGAGGGGATGCTTCACATAGCACCGGTGCTTGAGGAGGAAAGAGTTTCATGCATTTATTTCTTTAATTTTGTGGTCTAATTATTATGTGTCATGTGTCATATATATATTCAATTCTTTTTTATAGCAATTTTCTCAAATGGCTCTCTTTTTAAATACTTTTCCAACGATTCTTTTTTTGTAATTCCAATAAATATTTTAAGTAAATGTTTCTTTTACAAATAGCTGCAAATTAGGATTTTGTTTCTTAAAAAATGGATTTACATCCAAATAGGTCGATTTTAGATTTTTTTTATATTGATGGAGAACAAGCTAGTTTTAAAATATAAAGAGTAGTTTTTTCAATATAATATTTTCAAGTTTTGTATAATTAATACTCCGTAATTTATTATATAACTAAATACTTATAATGAACAAAAAGTAAAAAGTAAATATATTTTAGTGGACCTACTATATTAATTGAATAGATATTTAGGCATCCAAATGAGATGCTACCATTGGAAGAATAGGATGTTGAGAGAGGTGCTAGAATAACATCTTTATAGTGGAGCTCACACTTGGGCATCTAATAAGAGATGTTGCCATTGTGGATGCTCATCCTTAAAAGATGTTCATGTTCATGTTTTGCACATCCCATCAAATATATCCATCCCACCTCAAATATCTAAACAAACTTCAAAAACAATCTACTCACAATAAAGGAGAAATGAGGTAAATGCTAGACATTATAGATGTGAGTAGAAGTGTTTTCCGAAACGTACAAAAATTAAACAAGAACATCTTTTTAGGAAGAAGGAAGTATTAATATTTATTTTTTTAAGTGGGGGGGGGGGGGCATGTAAGGCCCTTAGAAACCAATCATAATTCACATATAGTCCCTCCGTCCCTATTTGTTTGCCACATTTCTAAAACCGAGCCAAAATATCACGTATTTTCAATTTATTTTATTTAAATATTGGTATAGAAATAAAAAAACAAACTTTACATATTTAAAAACTACATGAAAAATTCTTCGAAATAAGAAGTGTCAAAAGTATTTTATTTTATCAAATAACAAATGAAAACGTACAAATAAACAAAAATTCTCGCGCCTGTTGAAAAAGCAAACGTGACATTCTTTTAGGGACGGAGGGAGTATGTCTTTATAAATATGAGAAGTCTAGAACATACATGGTGCACCCCTATAGCAATTAAAGCATATTTTCCCTCCCCAGCGGAGAGGATTTTGTGGGGAAAGGGAGAAGTTGAACCCCACACCCACTCCCCCCTCTATATATTCTCTCCCACACCTTTCCACCTCTGCGTTTTGTTTAACTTACTTGTCAACTAATAACCAACCATTTTTTATTTTATAATTCCAATAACCAAACAAACAAACAAAATAAAAAAAGAAAGAAAATAAAAATGCTGCCTTGTAATGGGTTGTTGTTTCCCCTCTTCTTTCTCGTTTTTTTCCTGGCAAAGACCCAATGCTCCGTCCGCCAACTCAAAGTTGAAGAATTCCAAATCAAACTTGATCAAAGATTAGCCTTTTCCACCCCCCCACGCCCCACTAATCCCATCAAGGTAATATATATACACACACAATTTTAATAATAATAATATTATCAAACCTCATTCTTGCTTTTCTTAATTCTATAGTGTTTTTCTATTGAACTATATTGTTTTGTTTTTGTTTTTGTTGAATGAAGAAAGAAGGAAGAGTGTTGTATCCGATTGGGTACGGAGCGGACCCCACGGGGGGAGGAGACAGCAGCGGGGCGATAGCGGAGGCCCTCGGGGACGGGGTGAAGATGCACCGGGATGGGGCGGAGCTGCTGCCGGGGATTAGGGACTTGGGCGGCCTCGTCATTGATTTTCAAGGCGGCGATTTTAAGATCAGCAGTCCCATTGTCTTCCCTCCCGCCATTGGAAATCTTGTGGTTTGTCTTTTTTCTCCTCTCCTCCTATTTATAATTAATTTCCTCACCCCTATGTCTCTCCATTCTTGTTTCCTTATGTATATATATGTATGTATGTATATGGTCATTCGATGGAATTTATGATTGATTTAGAACCAAAATGACTCTTTACATAGCCATATTCACATCAAATCACGTCGTTAAAGGATTAGAGATGAAACGATTAGTTAATTCAACTAAAAACTAAATAAAACATACGGATTACTAATTTATGAATTTCTAAGTGGAAAGGTATGAACAATTTTCTTTTAAAAAAATAAATTGTGTGGGCTATACAATTTTTTTTAAGACTTTAGGTCCTCAAAAGTATTCAAATGTATAATAGGGCATTTAGATCTAATCACATTAGATTAAATATTGAATTCAATTAATTAGCTAGTATCTAACGTTTTGTTCTCAAATAAAGTTTCACATTACTAGAAAGAATTTTGTAGTTTGCTTTATTTTTATAAATCTCAACCATAGGTTTCACTTTTTTCGTCTCTGAGTATTTGTATATTTTTAACTTTGTTTTGGTAAAAAGTGATAAACTTTGATCCCAAATTAAATAAAAATGATATTCCGTATTAGATATTGATACAAAAATATATTTATTAGATTTATTTTATGAAATATTTTCAAAATATTATTTTATCTAACTAATATACAAAATACGGAGTATATTTTATTTAATTATGGATCAAAAGTTGAAAATGATTGAATGAAAAAAGTTAAAACTAAACTAAGAATGAATAGTCTTATTTTTGGACGGTGGAGTAAATGTGTAAAATGGCATCTGCTTTATTTTTTCAGGGTTGAAATTTCAATACTGTCGTTATTGACTTGGGAAATTTTCACATTGATGAATTGTTTGAATTAAAAAAATATGTTCATTTGGAATGAAGGCACTAATTTTGAGGCGACATTTCTTATGATTGGATGAACAACATTATGGCTTGGGGCAAGACATTTTGAAAACATGTTTCCTCTTGGGTTTGAAAATGTTTTTAAATTCTCTCCGTACACTTTTCATGCTCTTAAACGCAACACTTTGAACATAAGTATTTTTATTTATATGTATATTACTCCAAAATTATATAATAATAATATAATAATTTAAAATAATGTTTCAAAATAAAATTATTGATATTATATTTATATTACAATTCAATGTATTATTCCATAATTTGTAATCAAAACTTAAAAATGTTGACCATTAAACTCAAAATTACGGAGTGATGTTTTGAATATGCCTTTTGAACAAAATGACTAAAAAGAAAAAAAATAGGGAAGGGCATGGTTGATTAACTTTAGTGATATGATATGAGTTTTGAAATTTGACAGAAATAATATTATTTTAAAATCTGAAACAACATCATTTAGAAAAAAATATAAATGAAACCAAATAAAAGTCACAACCCTTTGGGGTGAATTTAAAAAATCAAATGTAGTTGTCAGATAATACTACCTAAGTCTCGGTGTGTTTGTTTAGTTTTGACCTTTTACAGTTAAAATTAATAAACTCTTTTTCGAACTATATAAATTAAAATTAATAAATTGTAGGATGAAGAAAATATCTACCACTATTTACTAGTACAATAATTGTAACTGAAAATGGTATAAATGTATAATAATGAAAAAAAAATAAGAAAAATATCTACATCAATTGGGGAGTGGTGATCGAAATGTGAGGTCTCATGTTGACTAAAAACTGGTATAGATTAGTTCGATTAATTCACCTGGCCTCGTTGTCCAAGTATATAGAAATAATAACACTCCTAAAAATAATTGGTGAAATTTCCATACAGAGCATGTTCTTTTCAATTTCTTCATATTACCTATTCTTATTCGAATTAGATCAAATCAAATCAGAAATAGTTTTAAATATAATTACATCCAAACCATGCATCAAATAATAATTGATCATAACTTAATCTAATCAGATTAGATAAAATGAACATATCCTTAATTGAGAAAAAATTTGATAAATATGAGGCTTGTGTTTCGCAACATAGCACCACACATATTTCTGGTCGTAATGGTCAATAAGCACAAGATATTATAAATATCCATTTAGACCCGTGAGTAGTACTCCTAACTCACATTTATATTAGAGCAAATTCCATGATTAGTACTTTATAGTTGTAAGTTTTTCTTATATAATCACATATTATCAAATATTATCTCGGTGATCTTTCTTTTATGTGTACGTGTATCTTTTCACAAATAGTCTCTTGCTTAATCTTCTGTCATTATGGTGTTACCTTGAGGGGAAAAAGTGTAATTTTATAATGGTTGTTGAAATTGGAAATAATAATATTGTTCTTTAGATTATGAAGTAAATGATAGAGTTTATATAGAAAAGACTCCTAACACAACTAAGAATAGAGAATGGAGACTAACTAAGATACAACATCTACTACAAATAGGAATAAGAAGCTAACTTATAATCAAACACCACAATAACTAATACTACCAGAAATTAGGGGTGTCAACGGATAGTTGAAAATCCGATTACCGTCCGCATCCGTATCCGTTTAAAGAGGAAATATCCGCATCCGTTTTAAACGGATATTATCCGATTAAGGATATCCGATTACTAAACGGATACGGATTTGGTAATTGTATATCCGATCCGTTTAAAATCTGATCCGAATATGCATCCGTTTAAATAACCGTTTATCCGAATATCCGATCCGTTAGATATAGTTTTTCCTAGTTTTTTATGTTTATAATTTGTTTCTCTATTAATATTTCAAAATATAAGACATTTTTATATACAAAATAAATGTGTAGACACATAAAAATATATGCAGACATATATAAATATGTGTATATGTGTGTTGTGTATATCTTTTTATCATATGAAGTTATCATAGAATATCATAAATCATGAAAACAAAGAAAATAATTGTCCCTTACCAAATTATAGTTGATTTAATAATAGTTTGACTTTAATCTAATTTAAAATTAAAGTATTGTTTAATTTGATTTTAAAAATTAGAAACGGATACGGATGTATCCAATATCCGATCGATATTCGACCGATGCGAATAAGGTTTTGATTTTCAGGATCCGTCAAGATCTGTATCCGAATTCGATATCCGACAAAAATAAACGGATACGGATTTGGTAATGACACATCTAATCCGATTAATATCCGTTTACACCCCTATCGGAAGTAATACTAGTATTATTGTCTAACATCCCCCCTCAAGCTGAACTCTGGCTGAAGCAAGGGGAAGCTTGGACTCTGGCTGGAAACTGGAAACTTTGAGAAGAGAGAAGTCTGACGTGCGCCGATGGGTGCTGACATCGTTAGAAAAGAGAGAAGTCTGACGTGCACCGGTGCTGCTCACGTCGTTGGAAAAGATAGAAGACTGACGTGCGCTGGTAGCTACTGACGTCGATGAAGAAGAAAGAAGATTGACGTGCGCTGTTAGCTGCTGACGTCGAAGAAGAAGAGAGAAGGTTGACGTGTGCTTGTAGCTGCTGACATCGAAGAAGAATATAGAAGGCTACTGGAGGTGCCTGTTTGAATCAAGATCCTTGACATTCTTTATCTTTTTTTTCTTGGATTCGGGCAATGCCCTATTTCTTTCTTGAAGGGGTGTAGAGGTATTCTTTCCTCCTTCACTACTTCCCCTCCTGGCTTGGCTTTTGTGTTGTTTTTTTTTGAAATTTTATTGGTTAACAAAGGAGAAAGAGAAGAAAGATTGATGTTTAGAATGAGCGATTGGAAAGAGAAAAGGGGGAATTAAGAATTGTTGAGGAAGAAAAGAACTAGGTCTGAGAATCTTCGATAGTGAATTGTAGAGAAACAAATATCATTTTTTTTCATGATTTTGAGAAGATACAAGGATGAGTGGAGAGAGTTTGTGAGGAGTTTTTTTGAAGAACCATGGAGATGACAAGAGAGAAGTTCCTCCTTTGATGGTTTTGTTGTGTGATTTCAACATGGATTTTTTCTTCTTTTTTTTTTCCATTTGAATGGAAAAGTTGATTTGAGGATAAAAGAAGGAAAAGAAAACAAAGGTGAATAGAGTGGAGCCGCCATCGCTGGAATTACCAGCGGCGGCGACGGAAGCAAAGAACTCTTTTAGGTCGCCAAGAACTCTTTTAGGTCACCATGATAGAGTATATATATAAGAAACTCCTAACACAACTAGGAATAGAGAATGAAGACTAACTAAGATACAACATCTACTACAAATATGAATATGAAGCTAACTTATAATCAAACACTACAATAACTAATACTACCAGAAGTAATATTAGTATTATTGTCTAACAATGGTCATATATTTCTTGTCATATACAATTCCGAAGGCTGCCCCTCATGCGTTATTTGTGATTTAAAGTCACTTTCTACTACAACTATCGTCTACTGATGTGGTCTTTTGTCAGAATCCTAGTCTACCAATCATAGTCATTATTTTTGTGTTATTCGGCTAACCGTCATCAGAATACGTCATTGGACATAAAGTTGACATTAAATGATGCTTTTAAGACTCAAATTAATTAACACCAACATGGCAGAATGTCCAAAAAAGACTTTGTCGAAAGGTACCCATAAAAGAAGAACCACAAAAGTAATATTTTATAATAGAGAACTTAATAGTAATAGGGATCGGAAAATCTCATTTTATAAACTACCAATTATTAAAATTTACTCTTTGTATAAACTAGCTCAAGCGGATGAGAACTAGGCCATGTTGGTGGACAAGAGGATGGTGAATACCCCGTATAAGACAAAGAATGAACTCCATGTTGACCGGCGTATGAATAGGATTGACCGACAAGGAGTATAGGTTATTATTATTATGGAGAATTTACCTAAATACGACTAAAACATAGTGACTTTCTCAATATAGGAACATATGTTTTTATTTTCCAATTTAGAATCATTTGTCATTATCCATTAGTCATTATTCAAGTAAATGTCCACCATCACTGGACATTATTCCTCCCATTAGACACTATTAAGTCCTATTTACAGAATAAAAAAATTTAAGTCTTATATTCAAAAATTACTTATGTTTTAGCCTTATTTAGTGCAAATTTCATTATTATAATTTGTCCACAAGAGCAATGACACATCCCTGCAATACACGAAATTGATAAAATTAAAATTGAATTAGAAATTGAAATTCTATGAAATTGATTTGGACATAGTTGGACTTTCAAATTTCAAGCTATTTTTGGCACACTAATTCTAAATTCACATATTTTTGTGTTGCCAAACATTAGAATAGAAATTGTTGTCTTCAATTCCAATTCTATAATTTGAATTTCGTGTATCAAATGGAGTCTAAGGATAATTTACACAAATTAGACTTAAACATATCAGTTTTCCATAAATAGGACCGGTATCAAGTTTCTCAAACTTGGATCCAATACTATGATAAAAATAACATTGAGAACCTATTTTAGTATATTTCTTAATAAATATTTTCCATGATACAAATAATATTGAGAAACTATTTTAGTATATTTTTTTAGAAATATTTACCAAGCACATGGTCTGTATATGTACTGAGAAAAGTCACAACCCAGAATTATCTTTGTGAATATGAACTCTTTTCATAATAGAAAAGGAAACAGAATAATGCATATTATAGTAAATATTCACAGGATAATGAATAGAATATTTTGAAGATATTCTTTCGCTAACATTATATATTCATAGATAGGATATTAATGATTTTCATATATATTAATGATTAAAGTGTTATTTCTACAAACAAAAAACTTTAAATTATGCAAAGCATTTAGAAGTGAAGATTTTAATTCACAATTCGAGTAAAGTGCGTACTTCGAATTAGTTATCCACAAGATCAATTATGCCAAATTTAACAAAGAATTATGCTCTAATGGTAGAAATTTTTTTATCATATACGCCACTGAAACAAAATTAAACATCAAACTAATGAACATGTTATAATATAAAAAACTTTCCTAAGTCTACAACTATAAGCTTGAGCTTTGGATGAGTTGGTTCATTGATATGGTATTGAAACCTTCTTAACTAAAAGGTCATGGGTTCAAAACGCATTGCAGGTACAAAGCGGGTCCTTGCGAGCATCCGATGTATTTCCAGGAAATAGACATCTAATTGAGCTTGAGGATAAAGACAATACAGGCGTAACCCGATACGAGGATGTCACTTTCCGTGACATCCTCTTCGACTCCAGCTTTCGTGGAGGAGGAATCAAGGTCGTTGACTCTGTCAGAATTCGAGTCACCAACTGTTTCTTCCTACACTTCACCACCCAAGGAATCCTCGCCAGGCACGGGCACGAGACGTTCGTGTCAAACACATTCCTCGGCCAGCACTCGACGGTCGGTGGCAGTGCTGACGAGAAGGGTTTCTCTGGCACGGCAATCGACCTCGATAGCACCGATAACGCTGTCACTGACGTCGCAATCTTCTCCGCCGCCATCGGGGTCGTGTTGCGGGGCCAGTCGAACGTGATCACCGGCGTGCATTGTTACAACAAGGCTTCCGTTTATGGCGGTGTTGGGATTTTAGTCAGAGCGGCTCAGAACCGAATAAGCAATTGTTATTTGGACTACAACTCCATTGTGGTTGAAGACCCATCTTGGGTTCACATCACAAATGGGTATTTCCTCGGGGGCGCCAACGTGGTTTTGAAGTCGGTTTTAGGCTGCGTTTCAGGCTTGAACGTCGTGAACAATATGTTCATTAATGGAGACCCTAACCACATGGTGCCCATTGTGCAAATTGACGGTGTTTTCAAGAATGTGAGCCAGGTCGTGGTTGATCACAATAGCGTGAAGGGGATGAGCATGAAGTCGACCGTCGGGAAAATGACAGTGGCCGGAAACGGGACGAAGTGGGTGGCCGATTTCTCGCCGGTGCTGGTGTTTCCTGATCAGATTAGCCATTTTCAACACTCATTCTATTGTAAACAAGGACTTGATGGTGGGTTTCCAAGGCATGCAGTGACAAATATCTCAAGTAATGTTGTGGTAGTGGAGAGTGAGAAAGCTATTGATGCACTAGTGTCTGTTTTTGTTGACCAGAATAATATGTTTGGGGAAGGAATTTCATTGGTGGACTAATGAGCTAGCTAGCTAGCTAGCAGAATTCCTGAAACATTATTGGGGAAGTTTGAGACCACGTTGGTAATCAATCCCTAATTGCTCTCTGTGATATTCTTTATCTTGTAAATATAACAAATTTAGAGATACTCAAAAATCAGAAACATCATTAGAGCAACTTTAATCAAGGGGGGTTGTTTGAGAAACATTGATGTGGCAAAGAAGAAAGTGGGGGGGGGGGGGAATGATTAGAGTCGAGAGGGCTGGGGTAAAAAAGAGAGAGAAGAAGAATTGAGGAACTTATATCCCCGAAAAAAACAAGATAACTATAAATTTAAGGCCCCGTTTGTTACATGGAATTCAAACCATGGAATTGGAATTGAGGCTTCAAATCCAATTCCGGTGTTTGGTAGCTCAAAAATTATGTAGATTTGGAATTGATAGTGTAAAAAATGATTTGGAATTGGCAGAATTCAATTCTATGGAATTGAATCCCATGGAGTTTTAATTCCAATTCAATTCTAATTCTGTCAATTCCACATACCAAACGGACCCTAAATTATTTTTTAAATAAAAATTATCTTAATTTATTATATTAAAATTAGGTATAAAATAAAAAAATCAACAATCTTAATAAATTTACAAGTTCTTGAGTTAAACTAATAATAAATTAGATTGGGGTTTTGAATAATTTCCAACCCAAGTGCTTATAAACTCATTGAGTGCAACTGAGATTTATTTTTGCTCGACCCTTGTAGGTGAAAATTAATTTTTTATTCTCTAAATGTTACGTAGTAGAATATAAAAAAACTTTTCCAGAGTCATAACCACAAGTTTCAGCTTTTGATGGAGTTGCTTCCCTGACATGGTATTGGAGCCTCGATGGCTTAGGTCTTCTTCTCTTCGACTTATTTCTACTACGTATTGCTTATTCTTATCAAAATCAGATCCATTCAATAAGAAAAATATTCAAAAATAATTAATTTCAAAATAATAGTAATAATAATAATTACAATAATAAAATAGTACGGAGTAATTATTATTATCATTATAAAGTAATAATAATAATAATAATAATTAATCATCATCATACTTAATAACAATAGTAATAGTACTTAATAATAATTAAAATCATAATAATCATAATTATTATTATTATCAACTAATAATGATGATGATAGTAATTAATAATAATATACATTTTTAAATATAATAATAATAATAATAATAACTGTTAATCAATAATTACAATGATAATAGAGTTTAACATTAATTATTATTTTAGTAATAATTACAATTAGTAATGATAATCATCATCATTAATCATAACACTTAATATTAATAAAAATAATTAATTATAATAATAATAAATATAATTACTTAAATAATAATAGTAATAATAATTAACTATTACAATTTAATTTATCTATCATAAGAATTATTATTGTAAAAATTAATAATTATTATTAATAATAATTATTAATAATTAATAATGATAATTAATAAACATTATTATTATTATTATTAGAATTAGAACTATTCAAATCAGATCAAATTCATTCAGACGAGGGTAGCCTTATAGAACTGAGTTCAAATCAGATCAGCCAAAGAGAACGTAGCCTAAGAGGTCATATGTTCTAAAGTCAGTGTCACCCAATTTAAAAAAATTAAGGTTTCACGTACAAAGCTCAAAATGAATACGCCTACACGTGAGGGGGCATGTTAGAGTATAAAAAATCTTTCCTAGGCCACAACTAAAAGCTTGAGCTTTTGGTTGAGTTTGTTCTTTGACACTATGTATTGACGTGATATCAAATTTCCATAACTTGTGAGACACGTTTATCAATCTATACATCCTCAAGCCTCAATGCATCTATTGCATTAATGATATCATGTTTTTAAGTAATACTTGTTACAAACACTAATGTAGAGATTTCAATGGACGGAAAAGACGGATGATTCTGAAAGATATTATTAATAATGCATTTAAAGGTAATAGTGCTTGCTTACCGGTGTAACCAAAAATTCCATTTCTCGAAGTAATTTATTTGGATTAATTTTTGGAACAAACTTAAGGTAATAGTGTTTGCCTACCGTATCAGAGAACGTGGAGACTTCCTCCCATGACAAAACACTATCATGTATGATGATTGTACAGACCTACCACTGCACACACCAACGAACAAGAACAATGTCCAGTCGTTGCCGACCAAACAAGATGAAGTGATCGTTTTAGGCACCTTGCCTACTCATACATTCTTTGGAAAGTTAATCAAGTGTAGATTTTGCAGTGATACAGTCGACTACCTCGCCCATTTGGTAACCAAGGTAAAATTATAGGCAAATTCAAGGAAGTTGGAAGCGATAGCTGACTGGACACAACCTACAAACATCACACTACCTAGAGGGTTTTTTGGTTTGACAGGCTACTATTGATATTTCATCGAACATTATGTAACGTAGAAGTCCTCGTTGAAATCACTTCTAAAGATGAATGACTTTCATACTGAGGTCGCTTTCACATAGTTGAAAGGCACGCTGATTAAATCATCAATTTCACACCTTACAAATTTTGAGGAAGAATTCATAGTGAAAATTGACACATTAGACAAGGGACTTGGTGAGTTCCAAATGCAACATGGTCATCGTGTGGCTTAATTACTTTTGCATAAAGAGTTATATGTCATAGTGGAACCTGTTCTAAAGTGGCACCAATATCTGTTAGGCCACTTCATCACACGCATGGATCAAATGAGTCTTAAAGAGCTCTTCTTAACTTTCCAAACACCGGAGCAAAAAATCGACGTTCTAAAACTCATGAGCTTTAGGTTTCACATTGAATACAAGACGTGGAGTTCTAATCACATTGTTGATGCCTTGTGACTAGCCATGGCACCGAATGTAGTAGCCGCTCTTTTTATCTATGGTATATTGTTCGCTAAAATCTCAAAATGTAAAATACATTCATGCACAATTCAAGAATCACCAATCTAATACAGAGTAGATAATATATATCAAGTTCCGCTTCAAATATGAAAAGAAATAGTGACACACAATAAATATTAAAAAGAATTTTTCCATTGGCCTTTTTTGGACAAATATGATTTGATAATTCTTCGTTTATTTATTTATCTTGAAAAACTGTGAGAGAGAAATTTTAACGCGATTTGAAAATAATCAATGTAAATTAGTAATGACATTTCTCAGAATACAATGTAAATACTCTTCACATATTGATGGAAACCGCTTTTTCGGGGCGTCGACCCGACGAAATCGGTACCGGGTCGGCACCGCACCGAATAGCGAAATCTGGAAATTAAATAAATAAATAAAGCGGAGAGAAAGTATTTATACGTGGAAACCCAAATCGCGAGAAAACCACGGGCCTTTTTAGGCAGTGCCATGCCAAAGGGGAGGAACTTTTATTAATCTCGGGGGAATTTACATATACATCATTGTATGAGCTTGGAGCCATTAATGGAGCTCCAAGCTTAAAGAAGAAGAATGAAAAATAGTAGTAAGTTGTTGTAGGAATCTGGCCTCCATCTCCCCTCCTCCTTCGAAACATTCTATTTAAACGAGAGTACATGCATGCATCCCAACAATGCCATGAGGTGGCAATATCACCTCCATGTGCATATGTTTAGTATATGGGCTCCACTGAATATTTTCACATCACTTCAAATATATTAATCTGTCCATATATCTCTGGTTCCGTCTTGAATAATTTATCTAATTTATATCTTGGGCCAGATAAAATTAGGCTTTCTTGTATTGTTCAAATGATATTGGATTAGAAAAAATCCCTAATCCATCACATGCCCCCTAGTTTTGAGTCTGTCTCGGGGAACGAGACAGATTCAAAACTATATGACTCGGTGGGTTACCTCGTGGGATAGAATTTTTCTTGGTGCCTCGGGAAAAAGACTTTTCTCAGGGATTTGAGCCTCTTGGAAGAGGATTTTCTCAGGGCTTAGTGCCTCTTGGAAGAGGACTCTCTCAGGGATTTGTTCTTCTTGGAAGAAGACTTTTCTCAGGGATTTGAGCTTCTTGGAAGAAGACTTTTTTCAAGGATTCGTGCCTCTTGGAAGAGGACTTTTCTCGGGGATTTGTGCCTCTTGGAAGAGGACTTTCTCAGGGCCTTGTGCCTCTTTGGAAGAGGACTTTCTCGAGACTTTGTGCCTTTTTGGATTAGGACTTTCTTGGGACTTTGTGCCTCTTTAGAAGAGGACCTTCCCGGGACTTTGTGCCTCTTTGGAAGAGGACTTTCTCGGGACTTTGTGCCTCTTTAGAAGAGGAC